GCAGACAAAACAAATGATCAAACCCACATTCAGGGAACCACAGAAGATGGAGCAATTAGAAAGGAAATAGAGGAAAACAGGTCTGAAAAAGAATCAAAGAAAAATTCCAGAAACAAAAGACATAGTTATTGAAATAAAAATAAATCAAGAAAACTGACAATGGCATTAGAGAACAGGCTGATAGATGAGATTAGAGAACAACGAGAATTTGATAAAGCAACAAAGAGGTGTATGGATTCTATGGCTGATCAAAGGACATATTCCAACAGACAGCCTGACAGATGTGTGTGGGGAGGGCCCCCCCAGGGGACCGCAGGGGGGCTGGGCTCCTGAGGACCTCTTGCATCCTGCCGATGCATGTACTACTCTATTGTAGCCCCTCGCATTCTAGAAAGCCATTCTTTACTTCCACAGCCCCCTCCTGTGACAAATTAGAGGACAGTGGACACACAGAGCCCCCTAGCCCCCGCCCCACAGGACATGTTTGAAGGGCAAGTCAAAACCAAACTTCCCTTCCTGAAACGGAGAGTGATTGAACCAGCAGTGTTGAAACCATGCAAATCGAGTTCTCACTGTGGACTTGCAAGGCCCTTTGGCCTCAGGCCGCTGTTTGGGAACATTTAGAAAGATGAGGTTTTGGTCACTGCCAAGACCAACCTCATGCCAAAGCAAAGATGCCACTCTTATTTGCAGATCTCTTTAAGATCTTCCCAGGAGGTCGCCTGCACCTCCAGACTGGCAGGGAGAAGTACAGTGTGTTTTCGGGGAAGGTGATTATGACAGCTCAGAAAGCACCCGCTGGGCCTTCTGTCAAAAAGCAATTGCTGACTCAGGGCGGTGGAGCCCAGGGGACCGGGAAACACGAAAGGTAGCTTGTGTCAAAGAGACCACCTCCATTTGCAATTTGGTTGAGCAACATTTGGGCCAATCCCCAAAACAATCCTGAAAATCTGTCCTTGCAGTTTGTGCCGGGAGCACGGAAATCAAGACTTGCTCGCACCCACGATTTAAACTCGTCCAGGGGGAGAGAAAACACACCTTTATTATGCGCTGATGATATGCCTGGCACCATGCTATGGTTTTTGCGTATGTAATTACGATAGGAAAAGATAGGAGAAAAAAGGCAGAGGGGGTTAGGACCTGAGGTCCCTGGGTGCGGAAAAACAAGTAGTTTGGAACAATGCTGGGCGTCTCTGACCACAGCAACCCCCCTGGGGTGTAAGGTTCCTCCTAAGAATGTATCAGACACCATCTACCCCCCTGAGGTTCCCCTCAGGAATTTGACAAAAGACCTAACTAAAAATAAGTAGTAGACCACAAAGCGTATGACCCACAAGGAATGATGTGGCTACAGACCACCGCTCATGCAAAGGAATCGAGCCAATCAGGAAGGGACAGCCCTGCACCTAGAGCCATCCAGCCAGTAAGGGTGGAACCTGAGACGGAATGATGGGGAAGGGGAGGGAGAGACGACTAGAACCTTCTAAAACAAGGACCCTTGCCTATAGTCACGGGCATTCCCTTTCGAATGCCCCCTCTCTGTAGACAGCTTTCACACCATTCTTCCTTTCTGATCTTATACTCTAATAAGCTTTGGCCTGCTGCTCATTTTGTGTCCACCTCTTCATCCTTCGAAGCGGCGAAACAACGAACCCCCCGTATTGAGGTAGAGAATTCCGCAACATAATCAGCTTCTTGGATCAGCGGTTCGTTCTTCCCCACCACAGCCTTTCAGCAATGCCAGTCAGATCTCCCTTCCCCACCTCTGGAGGACAACTCTGGGAAGATCCCTTAACTTCCAGATCTTACTGATGGATGGCCTCATTTTTACGTGTTAAAATGGTACTTCAGTTAGTCTCTCGTCCAAACCAAAGCTTCTCTCCCCAGCCTGGGTCTGACCTGCAAACTCTACAAAGCCCCACGGAGGTAGCGTTGGCAGCTTCATGGGGGAGCCAGATGTGTGGGGGCAGCAAACCTGCACATGAAGTGGGCATTGTACATTCTGGGTGCTGGGTCTCCCGCACGAGTAAGCAAGAAGAATGGGGCCAACCAGCAGAGATGAGGCCCCTCTTTGGCCATCACTCGGGAAAGTGTGACCCTTTCAGGCTTCTTTCCCAAGTGGGTATTTTGTAAAATACGGTCCTGCAAGATATATCATGAACAATGGGGTCAGGGTCAAAATTAGAAAAGCTTCATGTTACACAGTTAATCAGGTTTCTTCTAGCAAGACTCCACGGACCAGTGGTTCTCAAAGTGTGGTCCCTGGACCAGCAGCATCGGCACCAGCTAGTGTTAGGGACTGGATGTTTGTATCCTCTCCAAACTCATATGGTGAAACCCTAATGCCCAGCGCGAGGTCTTTGTGAAGTAATTAGGTTGAGGTGATGTCATAAAGGTGGGTCTCCCCTGGTGGTGCTTGTGTCCTTATAAGAAGAGGAAGACCGGAGCCCCTCTTTTTCTCTGCTTGTGAGGACACAGGAAGAAGGTGACCTTCTGCAAGCCATGAAGTGGGTTTCCACCAAGAACTGAATCTGCTGGCACCTTGAACTTGGACTTCCCAGCCTCCAGAACTGTGACGAATAAACGTCTATTGTTAAAACCACCCAATCTGTGGTATTTTGTTCTGGCAGCCTGAGCGAAGTCACCAAGGAACTTGCTAGAAATGCAGATTCTCCGGCTCTACCCCGGATCCAATGAACAGAAGCCTTGCAGGTGGGGCCCAGCAGTCTGTGTAACAGGCCCTCCGGATGTTCAGACAAGTCAAGTTTGAGACCCTTTGCCTCAGAGAATTTAATACGCTAATGTGGTCGATAGACTAGTCAGTTTAGCAAATTTGTTCACCGCGTTTATCCTGTTTGCCTGTTAGGCGCCTATGAATATCACCTGAAACAAACAAAAAAATCTCAGAAGACGCATGCTGTGAAATTCATTAAGTTCGCCGAACACATATTAACAGAGTACCCACTGTGTCCCAGGCAACTTCCGGGCACTGGGGATGTGACAGTGAACAAAACAGGAAGATTTCTACCAGTCCCTTCCCACTTTCCAGCGTTTGCCCTAGTCTCTCCCCTTCCCCACTGTCCTGTCCCTCCGGTCCCCGACTGACTTCCCTGCCTCTGCTCACACACCTTGGCTGTAGCTCTTCCTTTTGAGCAGTAGGATTCCCTTGCCCCCAAAGCAAAAGGCCTCTCTTAAGCTTGCCAAGCTTTCTCCCGCCTCAGTTGTTGCTTCCAGGACGTGCCATCGAATTCCTCGGGGGATATTTTCCTCATGAATTTACTGAACAGCTGACACCTGTCAGGGCCCCGGGGCGCGCACTGGAGCTGCGGAGGCAGGCCAGGAAGCACATGTCTTAAATTTGACAATTAGGAAAGGGACGATTTCTCCCCAGGTGTGCTTTCCCTGATCACAGTCAGCTGCACAAAGACCAAGCCAATGGCTCGCCCTGACACAGGAAAGGTGTGGAAAGCGAGATGCTTTGGCTTGGGGCCGAGGTGGGCGCTGCTCTCAGACTGTGAGCCTGTCGCGGTCGGTACAGCGTAAGAGGCGTGATGGCCACTTAACAGTGAGCGCTTGTAGACGGACCGACTGACTGAACGAATGAATGATTACAGTAAAACCAGCCAAAGCCAGCGACACTGGAAATGGATCCTTTAGAAAAGGGGGACGTGGGGGCCCAGCTCAGAGAGCTGGAGCACGGTTCTGGGGGTAAAGCTGTGTCTGTGTCAAATACTTAGAATTCTGACAAGCTCACCAGGATGGCAGTCCAAGAGACAGGGTTGAGAAGGTCCAGCAAACATGGAAAGTTCTGGATAGAAGACGAGGCAAAGGAAGGAGGGTGAAGGTCATCAGACACAGGGGAGTCCGGAGAAGACCCTGACGAGGGAAGGGCCCAGGCATGTCGCGAAGGCCTCCTCACGGCCTCTGGCTTCAAGGCCCATCCTGGGGGTACCTGCATCTCTGTGCGTTCCCACCAAGAGGCAGTGGCTTTGAAGAGTCAGGTCAGAGGAAATTTCAGCTGCACCCTCTTACCTGGGCTGGGACCTGGGGCAATTTTCTCAAACTTTCTTAAACTTGATGGTCAGTTTCTTCATCTGTAAAATGGGTAGAACACCTGTGTTGCAGGAAGGTTTGTTTATTCCGTGGATATTTATTGGTAGCAACTATACAGATCAGGAATTGTTCTAGGTGTTGAGTGTATAAAGTGAGCAAAAACAGACGCAGTTCCTTCCCTATTGGAGTAGACAGAAAATACTTGCATAAATAAATGTAATGTTCTAACTGAAAGAAATACTACGCAGGGGAGGTACAAGGTGCCATATGAGCTCAAAGTTGGGAGATCGGAGCTAGTTGTGGCGGTGAAGAAGTGAGGGTGAAGGAAAAGGAGGCAGGTGAATGGGCCGGTGGGGGTAAGAAGGTTCCAGGAGGAGGGAAGGGCACGGACAGTGGCCCTGTGGTAGGAGCACCGAGGGGACGGGAGAGCTTGTGACGTGGTGCTGAGGACTTGGCAGGGCTGGTGTCATGGACGCGTCAGTCTCTGCCCTTCCTTCAGCCCCGCTGCCGCCAGCACCCCTTTGGGTCCACCCCAAACTCCCTGCCCCCAGATCACTCTTCCTGTGTCTGCAGACTGGTCTCCGCACGGCTCCAGACCCGCGGGGTGCCCACCTTCCACAGACTCAGCTTCACCGCTCAGCCTGAGCCTGGAGAGGGGCCTAGGACAGATCAACGCTGGGGCTCCGGAGCCAGGCCTCCAGGGTTCACGCTCTAATTTGACCCCTTCCTGGCTGTGTGATCCCAGGCCAGTCACATTCCCTCTTTGTGCCTCAGTTCCTTCATCTAGGCAATGGAAATAACAACAGTAACTACCTCCTGGGGTTTACCCAAGTCCCTCACAACATTCATGGCACATACGTAATTTTACATTTTTTAAGTAGCCACGTTAAAAAACTAAAAAGGAACAGGTGATACCAGCTTTAATAATACACTCTAATCCAGGGGCACCTGGGTGGTTCAGCCGGTTAAGCGTCTGACTCCTGATTTTGGCTCAGGACATGATGTCACAATCGTGGGGTGTAGCCCCATGTCTGGGCTCAGGGCGGAGTCTGCCTGAGAATCTCTCTCCCTCTCTGCCCCTTGCCCACTCATTCTCTCTCTCTCTCTCTCTCTCTCTCTCTCTCTCTCTCAAAATAATAACCTTAAAACAATAATATACTCTAATTCAGTCTATCCATTCATCATGCAACGTGTGATCAATCTTAAAATATAACATATTTTACATTCTGGTTTTCTTACTAAGTCTTTGCAGGGCACTGTGTACGTTACATTGTCAGCACACCTTGCTTCAAACTGGCCGGATTTCAACTGCTCAACAGTCACGCATGGCTAGTGGCTATCCTGCTGGTCTGGCTGGCCTTTGGCTCTGAGATCCATGGGGCAGGGCCTGGTCTGGACTCCAGGTATGTGGTAGGTTCTCGATAAATGCAGATTGCACACGTAAAAGCATGGATGCACGGGAGAACAGCAGTCATGCTCTGCAAAGCCCCCGTCTGCTCTCATTTGGCTTCTGTTACTGGGCACACAGCCTTTCAGCCATGATGGGGATCAAATCCTGGGTACCCAGTGCCAAATGACCTTTCCGAAGAGAAGGTGAGAGGTGCACTTACGGACCTAGAGGCCCAGAAGGCACCATTAGGAGGACCATGTGAAGAAAGAACGGTGGGGTGGTGAAGATTCGTGGGAACAGGCCCCATCCTGGGAGCCCTGGGCCTTCTGCCTGTAGGCAGAGGGAAAGGGGAATGGACGGAAGGCGAGGGGGCTTCTCCCAGAAGGGCTCTCTCAATTTCCTAGGACCTTGGCAGGAGAGGCAAGAGTTGGCAGAAGGAAGACAATGTGGGGGGACACTTTGGTACAAAAATGTTCCTTTCTGTGCTTAATTTCTCTTCTTATTCCTTATTAGATAAGCAGCAGTGAGCAGTCACACATCACCCTTTTCACACTCAGGGAGGGTGACATTTGTGGGCAGCTGCCGAAGGACAGGGTCCCCTGGTGCCTACAGGGCCCAGAGAGCGGTGGGGGCTTGCTTAAGGAGCCCCAGCTTGTTGGCGGTGGGGCTGGAGCCCAGAATTCCTGTTTCTCATCCTCAGGCCTGTGCTTTTGAAAGTTATCTCCTGGTGAAGATGAGAATAAATCATAAGCTCTTTGAAGAGGACCCCGGTATATTAAACAAATAGGTTACTGAGATGCAGTTAACTATTCACTAATGTATTTGCAGAAAATTAATTTTTCATTCCGCCACTCAGAATATTGAGCCCGGCTGTTCATAAATACACAGTCTGACTCCTCCTTGCAAGTTTAAATAAAAAAAAAAAAAAAAAAAAAGGACTCTCCCAGTGGATATCTTTAGAGAAACATAATTATAATTTAGTTGACAGATCTCATATCTCGGTGCTGGCGAATAAACCTCCCCTGAATAATTCAAATAATAAATTCTGCCCCTTTGGAAAACTGAGCCGATCCTGAATGGAATTGGTTAAGCGCTTCCATCTCCAAAGACACAGCACGTGGCAGCCAGCAAGCACGTCTCGGATCTCCCTGGGCCCTCTTCTGGTACTGGCTCCAGCCACCAGCCGCGGGGCCTCTGTCCCTCCTCGCCTTCGGCCACGTGCCTACCTCGACTGTCTGTTAGCTCTCTGGTAACCGAGACGAGTGTGCATCCCACAAGGAGAGGCTGAACTTCCAGCGTTGGCCCCCCCCCCCCCCGCCCACACACACACATGGGCTTCTCATGCTGATCTTGTTCTGGTAGCATTTGGAGTGCCTGGGTGTGATTGAAGGCTAATGTTAGCGGGCCCAGGTCATCGTATGACATCACTGCTCCGGAAGAGATCTGTCCCAGCCACGTGTGGATCACCTGTTCCCCTCGCAGAGCAGTTTCTGTAGAAAGGCCTCTTTGCAGTTCACGGGGGCCTCCAGGGAAGGCACGTGAATAGGTTATCTCTGCTTGGAATTCCCGGCGAAGAAACCGGGTACATTCTTGGAACTATAAGTGAGTCTGTGAAGTCTGGGAGAACTTGTAGAACCTTTCGGGAACAGTCGCAGGCCGAAATTCATTAGGACATCCGAGATCTTAAGGCCAGTCTGTCAAGGATATTTGCCAAGTGGAATTTTCACCCCTGGCTTTTGGTCTCATAATAAAGCTTTGGGAACAGTTTAAAATCCAGCAAGAGCCACCCTCCTCCTTCCCCCCTAAAATAAAGCAACCCAAACAAACACAAAAATCTGCCCAGCACCGACCTTCCCTTGCTTTGGCGAGACGGTGGGGTAGGCTGACCAGCTCCATGCCCAGACTCAGTGTGGACTTCTGAGAGCTGGTTAGGTGCCACGCATGTGTTGGTTCCAAGCTTCAGCCTGATGGCAGATGTCAGAAAATATATACGGCCCTCTACGTTAACTGAGGCAAGTATGTCTCATTCATCCTGGCTTCTGTCAGAGCCACAGCATTCAGGGACCAGGTTTTGCCACATCTTTGAAGAAGACTGGGAAGGCCTACATCCACGACTCTGTGTTGGCCTTCGTATTAGTTTGCTCGGGCTGCTGCAATAAAGCACAACCCCCTTGGCTTCAGACAGCAGGACCTTGTCGGTTTTACAGTTCTGCAGGCCAGAGGTCTGAGAGCAAGGTGTTGGAGGGTTGGCCCTTCTGTGGGTTCTGAGGGAAAGTCTGTTCTGGGCCTATTTCCTGGCTTCTGGTGGCCACAGGCATTCTTGGCTTGTGGGTGCAGTCTTCCCTCCTGTCTTCACATGGTATTCTCCCTGTGTGTTTGTGTCTTCACACGGCCATCTTCTTATAAGGACACCAGTCATATTGCAGTAAGGGCCCACCCTACCCCATATGACCTCATCTTAGGTAATTTAATTTGCAACAGACCTATTTGCAAATAACGTCACATTCTATCATTGGACATTAGGGCTTTAACATCTTTTTTGGAGGGATGCAATTCAGTCCGTAACAGCCTTCTCTTGGTGCCCCCATGTTCTCACCGTGCGGGGGTAGGGGCATAGAAAGTGCTCAAAGGATGTGTGCAGTATTCTATCCTATCACTCACCACATCAGAAACTGCAAAGTGGCAACCTAGAGTTACCACCATTCTCTGGTGTGAGGAAAGAACACTCTTTGAATCCCGTATGATAATAAGAGTAAGCTGTTATATGTGTTCAGGAAGTGCTATTTCATTTCATTTCATTTCATTTCATTTCATTGAGCGAGAGATGTGGGGCTTGATCCCATGACTCTGGGATAATGACCTGAGCCGTAATCAAGAGTCGGATGCTCAACTGACTGAGCCATACAAATGCCCCAGGAAGTGCTACTTTTAAAAGGAGAATCCCCCCCCCAAAAATAAAATAAAATAAAAATAAAAGGAGAATCCCTGGTTAAGTAACACAATAATAAAAGCCTCCCATTAAAGGTTCTGTAGACCATATTCATTCATTCATTCATTCATTCATTCACTCATTCATTTATTCATTCAACCAGCATGCACAGAGTCTGTTGTGCACCAGACATCTGCTCTACGTGGAAGAAGCAGAGGTCCCATGCAGGAAGCTTGGAGACTTGTTTCTGCCAGGCGGGGCCTCTAAGGCTCCTTCTCCAGTGATCTGGCAGAAGTGGGGAGATGCTCAGACTTGAGATCACTTCCAAAGCAGTTATTCGAACGCCTGAGTGTGAGTACTAAGAAATCTCTATCTCCATCTATCTTTACCTTCGATTCCTGACCTAAAAACCATTGTAAATTGGGGCATTGGGAGACTCTTGTTCTCACATTTAGTCTCAGCAACAGTTCCTGACACAGTACTCTTAAGACCTTTGCAATTCTCTGCATGATAGGAGCATCTGACAGTAAGCCCCTAAATCCTTTGGAATTTCCTGGGCAATAGAAGCATCTTTTGTCCCAGTGAGTCGACTCTGGGTGGGCTCCTGGATGGGGGTCAGTCATCAGAAAGGCCAAGTCACGATTGGAAGCTTGGAACTTTCAGCCTCCCCTGTGCCCCCCTGCCATCCTCTGGACAAGGAAGAGGGGCTGGAAATAGTAACCCGCCATGCCTATCTGATGAAATCGCCATAAAAGTCCCAACAGTATGGGCTTCAGGGAGCTTCTAGGTTGGTGAACACATCCAAATACAGGAGGATTTGCCCCCCCTACACTTGGGATCCGTCCAGACCTCACTGTTCTTTATCCGGTTGCTCATCTGTACCCTTTCTCATACGCTTTATTATTTAATAAGCTGATAAATGTGAGTTAGCGTTTGCCCGAGTTCTGGGAGCTGTGCTAGCAAATGACTGAATCCAAGGAAGGGGGTGTCTTTGGAACCTCCGATTTGTAGCCAAGTTGGACAGAAGTTGTGGGTAATCTGGGCACCTCCTACTTGCTTACTGGCATCTGAAGTAGGGGTGATCTCGTGGGACCAAGCTTTTAAGCCGCAGGGTCTGCGTGACCTCCAGTTCAGTACCAGCGTTGAACTGGACCATGGGACACCCAGCTGGTGTCTCAAAGCATTGCTTGATGTGGGAAAAATCCCGCACATCTGGTATCAGAAGAATTGCGAGCGTGGCGTAGGGAGAGAGTAAAGGAGACGCACACAGGGGGTTTTCTTTGCACACACTGAGGTTCTAAGGCAGTGTTTGGATTTATCTGGTAAGGCAGGTGCGTTGTGTAGAAGGAGGGAAGGCCGAGGACCGCATGTTCTCCAGGCCTTCGTAGCTGCCCTGCCTCTCCTGTGGCTCTTCCCGGGGCCTGGATGAAGGAGACCTACCATGATGCCATGCACACCATGGGTCCTCAGTCCCTGTGTGAGCAGAAGCTCTCCCTACCAACCTGCTAATAGAGCTGAGTCTCAGACAATTCTTTTCTCCTCCTCCCAAACTCTTGGATAAACATTTTGTTTTCTTTAGTAGGAACCTTCCTTGATGAGTTGCATTTCCCACGAAATCCTGGGAGACAGCCACCCTGAAGTCGCTCTCACCAAGTGGGCAGAATAATCACCCCAAGGATGTCTACATCCCAACCCCTGCAACCTGCATGACATGTGTTACCTCACGTGGCGGAGGGACTTCCCAGAAGTGATGAAGTAAAGGATTTTGAGATGGGGAGTTTTCCTGGAGTATCCAGATGGGCTCAGTGTAATCACAAGTGTGTTTACAAGTGAGGGAGGGAGGCAGGCGGGTCAGAGAAGTCTGGAGGTGGTAGAGGCAGAGGCCGGGGGGTGTGAGTACTGACTTTAAGGATGGAGCCCAGGACGGTGGGCGGCCTCTGTAGCGGGAAAGGACAAGGAATCCGATTCTCCCCAGAGCCTTCCGAAGGAACACTGCCCTCCTACACCTTGGTTTTAGTCCCGTGAGACCCATTTCAGACTTCTGATCTCTAAACTGTAAGATAATAAATTTGTGTTGTTTGAATCTACTAAGTGTGCAGTAACTTGTGCGGTGACAATAGAAAACAGATGCACGCATCTGAGTCCACGCTCCTTGCGTCTCCAAACACAAGATGTCTTCACCGTCATCTTTTGGTTCTACGTGCCATACTTACACATGCCTCTGTTTTGTGCCCTCTCCAGCTTCTCCGAGGCCGCCCGCCCCCCAAATCAGGCACAGAGCACGCTGACCTCTCAATCTCCTCAGTATTTTTTTTAAGTTGATTTATTTATTTTGAGAGAGAGAATGAGAATGAGTGGGAGAGGGGAAGGGAGAGAGGGAGAGAGAGAGAGAGAATCCCAAGGAGGCGCCGCACTGTCAGTGCAGAGCCCTACGTGGGACTCAGTCCCATGAACCATGAGATCATGACCTGAGCTGAGATCGAGAGTCAGACATTTAACCAACTGAGCCACCCAGGTGGCCCTGAGTCCCCTCCGTATTTTGAAGGGTGTTTCTCATTATCATATCCCATGCCCACTTGTAGATGAACAAATAAGCAAAAGTCACACCTCCTTAGATACTGAGAAGGGCTGGTCTGGCCACGCAGAGCAAAACTGGCTACCTAATGCATCTCCCCAAAGCTAGAGTTCCCCAGGAACTAACTGCTGCTTAATAAGGCTCCTTTCCTGAAATGACGCAGACCTCTGCATGGAACCGCGTGCTGCGGCATGGGGAGCTCGGCAGCTGGCCTCTGTCCACCCGTTATGCAAACATAGGCCTCTGCACCTGCTGCTGCTCAGCCTGTCCAAGGTGTTTCATTTGCGACAAGTCTTTCCAATTAGTCATGTGCTGTTGCCTTGGGCCCCAGGCAATTCCTAAGCCTGAAAGATGTGCTCTTTGAATTCTTTTTTTTAAAATTTTTTAATGTTTATTTATTTTTGAGAGAGAGGCAGAGCGTGAACAGGAGGGGGAGACAGACAGACAGACAGACACACACACACACACACACACACACACACACACACACAGAATCCGAAGCAGGCTCCAGGCTCGGAGCTGCCAGCACAGAGCCTGTCACAGGGCTTGAACCCACAAAGTGTGAGATCGTGACCTGAGCCAAAATTGGCCACTTAACCAGCGGAGCCACGCAGGCGCCCCTGTGCTCTTTGAATTCTTTGAAATGCCTCCCTAGGGAAAGGCCCACTTAGGAGAAGGCTCCCATCTTAGCATCTTGCGATCATTACCACCTCTGTGTGTACAGCACTTTCTCCTCTGCTTTGCGCTGCTCCCTGGGCTGAGAACTTTCCAAGCACCGTCTTATGTATTCTTATGTATTTGCTGGGGCAACTCTTGGAAGTAACACTATTCTTCACCTTGCAGAGGCTCAGAGAGGTTAAGTAACTTGCCCAAGGTCACACAGCGAGTTTGTGTCTAGAGCCTCACTGCAAAGCCTCACTGATCACTGTGAGCCATCAGTCAGCAGCAGCGTGTCCTAGCAGCACAGCCATCACCCGGGAGCCGGTCAGAAACTAGTTGCAGACGTCACTCTGACCTTCCGAATTGGCATTTGCAGTCTAATGAGATCTCTAGGTGTTCAGTGTGCATTAAGGTTTGAGAAGCTCTAAACCATTATGTGGTATGATCACCCAAGAAAGAAAAAATTAAGCACGTATTGGATGAGAGCTTGAATAGCGTGTCTGGGAAGGATTCCTGCAGGTCGAGTGAAAATAGGCTGGAAGGCCTTGGGAGAGGCAGATGAGGCCTCTGGAAGCATTTCATTTAATCTCTAAGCATCTAGCTGCTCCCTCCTCTCTGCCCCTAGCTCTCAGACCAGACAGAGGGGGCTGCTCCCACTGGTTTGCTGAAGGACTGACACAGGTGTTTGTCCTTGTGTGGTGGCCATGGGAGCCGATGGCCTGCAAAGGGCATTAGAGCTATCGGGACCACTCTTGCAAACATCTCAGCCTTAGGAGGAAGGAGTGGGAATTCAGGCAAACTAGCTAGTGTGAAGGTGGGAGGAGGGCGGGGAGGGAGAGAGAGAGAGAGAGAGAGAGAGAAAACAAAAGCAAGGTGGGGGAGGGGATGGGTTGACTTGGAGAGGAGGGGCCTTGGGCACCAGAGGAGGTAAGTGAAGGGCAAGTGCTCTCCACAACCAGGCTCCCTCCAAACAGGGTCAGGGGGCCCTCCCCCCCCCCCCCCCCCAACACTCACTTAGAAGTGAGAGGAGTGAGATTGGTACTTAATCACTATCCTTACTGCCTTGGAACTCATCCATTTAGATCTTATTTATTTATTTGTTTGTTTATTTTATTCCTCCTTCATTCCTCATCGGATTTAGAATTTGTATGGATAATAGATACTTAATAACCATCATTAATGGCAGCAGCACTGATCACTTTCCATTAATGAAATAATACTCATTATTTCCAAAGTACTCCACAGAGTCCCTGGGAGGACACATGGGTGAGTATTGTACGCGTTCTACAGAGATAAAAGTAAGGCCTACAGAAGTGTGACTTCATCGGAGGCAGCTTCTGGAGTAGGGGACCGGGCCGCAGCCCAGTTCTCCTGAATTCTAGACGCCATCGCTTCCTTGGCATTCCCTCCAACTAACCAAAGAAACGTGAAACCCAAGCCAGCAGTAATGACACAAGGAGATAGGGAAACCGAATGACTCCATAAAAATCTGCTCTCTCGCTCCTTGTCCTGCTTGTGTTCTTGCTAGGACCCACATCCCCACTTTACACACGTCTCAGAAATAGTGTATGTCTTCGTTGTAAGGGACAAGCAGTTCATGATTTCTTTGGAGTCTTCCAGCAAAACAGGTAACATCTAAGGAAGGGCCAGGCGAGGATGAGCAGAGGAAGCCATCCATGCGCATTTCAGATCACCAGACCTAGACACCGCGATGCCAAGACCCCTGGCTCTAAGCAATAAGTGACTTATGGAGGACACCCGGAGGCTTGTCCTTGTTCTGACTGGTTCCTGGATGCTTGAGAGAATGCATACACCAGACCACAATTGTCAGTGAAAATCCCACACCCTGAGCAAAGATGAGACTCTCCTTCCCTTTCTGAGTCTTTCAGACGCTCCGTCTGCACCTGCACCCTCTCTATACCTTCAAAAACTCTGTTCTCACTTCCTGCTGGCTCATGTTTGACTTCTATCCTGCACAAAGCCAAGGACCCTCTTGGCTAGTCCTGTGGGTCCTCCCCCCCACCTCCCGGGCCCTTGGACCTGGCCTGCCTGCATCAACAGCACTGATCAAATGTGGGCAAAGAGGAGAAGATGCCACAAGCTGATTCGGGAACATTTACCCCAGTGTCATACTTTAAGAGTATTGTGTTAAGCACGATCCATGTTTTATAGCTTTTTTTTTAAACATATATTTTTGAGAGACAGAATGAGACAGAGCACGAGTGGGAGAGGGGCAGAGAGGGGGGGGTGGGCACAGAATCCGAAGCAGGCTCCAGGCTCTGAGCTGTCAGCACAGAGCCCGACGCGGGGTTCGAACTCATGGATGGCGAGATCATGACCTGAGCTGAAGTCAGCAGCCCAACTGACTGAGCCACCCAGGCGTCCCAGCACAATCCACGTTTCAGATTCACACTGAGAATCCTGCTTGAATGGTTTACTCTGGTTCCATGGTGGGACTGCCTACATCTGTTCGAAAGTTTTTCTCTCCTTCACACATTCTGAGTGTTTTCCTCATTTTCAAGTCTGTCTTTCTTCTGTGGACACATATATATGTATATATGTTGCTTGGTTGTTTTTCTCAATTCCCAGATATTTTCTGGGTCTTTAAACAATTACCAGCGAGGCTGGTTTGGAGACCAACCTCTAATCTTCAATTAGGAGAAATGCCTTTCGAATGAGTGGGTGAATGAGGGGATGGTTATGTCTGGAATCCCTGGGGATCAGAAGCTGACGCTAAATTCCTGAACCCCTCCCTGGGGGGCCCCTAAACCGGAGGCTCTCTGACTCCCCATGAAATGCCCTGATTTTCACACCTTGCTCGCCCATCAATGGGAACCTTTGTTTTTACAGGGGTCTTAGATGTCTGCACCCCATGCAGAGTGAGGGGGGAACTTCAGGCGCCTAGGCATGCTATCAGAGATGCTCGGTGACAAATATTCAGAGACGGTGGGATTAGAGTGCCCGTGACACCAGGGACAACTCCGCCAGTGAGCAGAGCTACCCTGCACAAAGATCAGCCTCTCTCCCTCTAAATGGTGTCCCTGCATCCTGGGTCGTAGGAGTGGCTCAGCACTCAGGTGGCTCTCTGTTTCTCGGGTTGCAGTTCTCAGGCCCACAGCCCAGAAAAAGAAACAAAAGAACGCCCAAGCCGAAGGTGTCCTCCCACGTGGTTGGCTAGCCGTTTAATTACAAGGTCCCATCAAACTAATTACACTTTAAGGACCTCTAAGACATTAGGTAATTAAAGGCCACCTTGCCGCCAGGTTCCAGAAACGCAGATTGCTTCTGTCGCAGTCAGTAGATGGGCCATGTGAGTCACGCAGTGAAGAGGTAAAGCTTGAGACCAAGAGTGAGAGGGATCTGGAGACAGCAGATTCTCTAAGGGCTCAATATGGGTTGACGTTTTCAGAGTCAGAAAGCTATTTGAATTTTTTCTTCTGGCAAAATCCATCAGGATAGAAAATCTGGTTTCCTCATCAGATTATATGACTGAGCCATAGCTGCTAAGAGCTGAGTTATGTGAAGATGAAATAAGGTAGACCAGCTAATGCAGTGTTGGGTATACAGGAAGTGCTCAATAGATAGTTATTAATATAATGTAATATGATATGATATGATATAATATAATACAATATAATATAGTGTGATATAATATAATATAATATAATATAATATAATATAATATAATATATAATACAATACAGTATAATTATAATATAGTAATTGTTTGCTGTTTGGTTTACGGGAAAAACATTCATCAGTGCCCACAATGCCAGACACAGTGCTCAGTGTTGGGGATTCCAGGGACATGCTGTCCTTGCGGATCCTTGGGGTTTCCAATGACAAATGAAA